GATAATGCTTATTGAAAGTTTTGTATTCTGTTTACTTCAGGAAACATGGAAATGAAATGCACAACCTCTCCATGTTAAGGGTAGCTGAACCCCATTTGGGGGGAGTTCAAAAGATAAGGAGGACAGTGAACTTGTTGGATTTTTAAAAGAATTTGTCCCTCAGAAAGATTTCACATGTATACCTGCATTTCCTTTTGAGGAATATGCATGAAGTGAAAAGCTGATAAAGTCACTAGATAATAAATTTGTGTTCTGTAAATGAAAATGAGCCAGTTCCTTTGCTTTACTTCCCACCATTTCGAACTGCAAATGATTTATATGGTGCCTAAAATAATATAAATATTTTTCTGTGGTATTGGCAATGATAAATTATCCAGAGATAGTCATTACTGACTTTGGCCATGAATCTCTTACTTGGTAACAATGCAAATAACTCAGGAGTCATAGATAATGCTTATTGAAAGTTTTATATTCTGTTTACTTCAGAACACACGGAAATGAAATGCACAACCTCTCCATGTTGAGGGTAGCTGAACCCCATTTATGGAGAATGTCCACATGAAAAGCAAGCACAGTCATACCATGCAAAAAATAGATCAACATTAGCACCACTTACCAAAAAATCAAACACATATATGCACACAACAAAAAACAAAAACCTGTTTCATTTGTATGTAGTTATAAAGATTATACTTTCATAGTAAATCTTGGCATTATCCCAAGTAGATATTGCATGTGAGATGCAAACAAGTTCTATTTTACTTGTTTCTCCTATTGAGGGTTTATTGTTTATTTATTTAAAAAATTTTCATTAATGTGCATTAATTATAGATCTGTATTGATTTCTTTGGGATCAGCTGCTAGAGAGTTATTATGTTCTTTCAGAAGCATCTTATTACCTTGATTTTTTCATATTTCTTATTCTCCTGTGTTGAGATTTGTGCATCAAGTGGATCAGGTGTCTCTACAACTTTTGTGGAGTAGCCTGATCCACCATAGGGACCACCACACCCATTAAAGGACTAGCCACATAGTGAATACACACTCTGTTTGGAACACAGAGTGGGTCTTTCCAATTCTGCCACTGTATGCACTGTGTTCAAAGTCATTAATCACAGCCAGAGAAGCTACAGGGGGACAGCACTATGTTACCCAGCTGGAATTAGAGCCAACTGGGCATAACAAATCAACACCCAAGACACATCCTTGGGAGAAAGCCTTCATGAATTGTATTTGGCCACCCCCATTCACATGTACCCAAGGGTAGGGAACAGACAGCCAAGGGTTGTCAGGGTCCTCTCACCATGTCACTGTGGCAAGGCAGGAGTGGAAAATAAAGTGCACCTTCCTCATCTTGTTAGTAACAGGCACTTGAGTGCAGCACAGTGAGGAGGGGCAGCTGGAACCCTGTGGGTACCTGCCTTTGGTCCCAGCACTGGTGTGAGTCCACATGTGCCTGGTCACACCTGTTCTCAGGGGGCAAGGACCTGCTCCTGGTTCTCAATGGGGGTATCCTCTGTTCTCTGTGTTCTACCTACCCCTCATCCCTACAGTGCAGGCACCCTGGGCTTATATCACAGTCACTCTGCTTAGGACAACACGTGTGTCTGGTATATCCAATATGTGATATTGGATTCTTGAGGAAGATACCCTTGAAACCATAATAGCAGAATGTGTGTGGAGTCTCAGAGATGGGGTGTGCAGGGTTTCTGATCCCTAGAACAATTCAAACAACAGTAGGTCCCTTCTCAAGATGGCTCCTGGCTGTAGCACCCTAGGTGTTCTTAGGAGATGATGTGAGATTCTTTCCCAAAGCAAGACAGCTGTGCAGATTTCGGGTTACTTATCTAATTAGGCTCTAAGCTTGTAGGGATGGTATAACTTACAATAAAACACTTTTATTTTTCCTAATAGCCACATTATTTTTTCCCCAAAATATTTCCAAAAGCACAGTCTACATTTGTACAGTATGAAATATATGAATGTGCATGCTACAGGAAGGCACTCAGTGTTTCAGCAAAAATAAATAAATAGATAGATAGATAGATAGATAGATAAATAATACAATGAGCTAATGCAGGTGATACAGTGACTCATTGGTCTAATGCTGGTTCCTCTTTTCTCCAAGGGCTTGATCATCTGAGTAATCAGCTGTCTTTAGAAATTACTTTTCTTTATTTCTTCAATAAAAAATGTAACATTTTTCTTGTAGGAAATTTTGTTTGCTTCTTTTTTCCCCCTCCTTGGCATTGTAGGCAATATTAGGTGTATTAGTCAGCATTCTCTAGAGGAACAGAATCAACAGGAAGTAAAATTATAAAAAGGGATTTATCTTTTTTGCTTCTGCAACCAGAAGCTGGATAGTCCACAATGGCTGGAGAGCTAGAAGAACCAGTAGCTGCACAGTCCAAGAGGCGGAAGTCCCAGAATAAGAGGGATCAAAGGTGCTACCCTAGTCCGAGACTGAAGGCTTCTGCAGAATCACTGGCAGAGTCTACTTTGGAGGGGTGAAGAAGTGCGAGTCCGATATCCTCAGATGATCTAGCAGCAGTCAGGAACCTGTTCAAGAAGAATGGAGCTTGCATCTACTGCTTCTTCCTTGCTAATCATTCCTAGACACACCCTCATTGACACTCCCTTAAGCCTCTTAGTAATTGGCTACTCTTAATCCAATCAAGTTGGCATTTCAAATTATCCATTACATAGAATATAGAGCACAGCTACAAATTTACTGAGCTTGTGTTGATTTTTGGTGACAGGGCATTAGGTATTGTTTTATGTCCTGAATTTCTGTAGATTCACTCATAAATTTCAATTGCATTTTATTTATGAAAAAATAAAAGAAAAATAATAGAAATGATAGTTTCTATAATTACTTAATCAAAACACTGCTAGGTGAAGAATCCATCCATTAAAATTATAATACAGATATTTTGATGGAAAACACGGTGCTTTGAATAAAGTTTGACAAGAAATATGTGTTGGTGATTGGAGAATACATTCAACTGTGAACCACTGTAATGGATTTGGATTTTTGTTAACAATAAAAACATTTTCAAAAAACCTTCAAATTAAATTGTTTGATCTCATATTTTAGGTTACTCATATTCACAGTGAATTATAATGTTAAGTTGTATGTTTTACTTTTGCCATAATTTAGATAAGTACATAAGAATATGTGGAAACATAGATTTCTCACACATTTTATATATTAAAGAAAGATTAATTGCAATACATAGTATCTTTTCCTTCTCTTGGTTGTGGTTTTGGTCATAGATGACCAAAAGCATCTTTAAAAAAATTTTAATTGTAGATGGATACAGTACCTTTATTTTGTTTAGTTTTTTAATGTGGTGCTGGGCGCTCTACCACTGAGCCACAATCCTAGCCCCTAAAGCATCTTCTGTATAAAACAAATTGACTTCTTTCTCTTAAATACCACATCCTTGGGAAAATTAAGAAACTAGTCCCTCAAATTGTTTCCTGTGGTCGGTGGTTCATATGAGATTGAGATTACATATATTGATCACATTATACACATCCCAGCAGAAGTGTAAATTACATGCACACACATATTTTATTCTATGTGCATTAGAATAATCATTCTCTAAGTAACAACATTTCTGTGGTGGTTGTTTTGGGATCTAAAGGAAAGTGTATGAATTGATTTGGAACAATAAAATGAGAGTGTGTACAGAGAGAGTAATTAAATGAGAGATTCTCTTAGGACAACACATGTGTCTGGTATTAATCATATATTAACTAGCTATGTTGATTTCAGCCTGCTTAAAAATTTCCTGCGCACATGGTGGACTATAAATTTTATTGGATCCTTGGCTAAGGAGTATCCATGACAATTGGCATTATCTCTGGCTGGCATCACTTCTAATGCTGTAGATTTATTGTTCTGCCTCCCCAGTGGCCAGAAGAACTCTAGGCAGTCTGTCACAAATGGTGAAGAGTGGCTTGGGTAACATCACTGGGAGTCACATAGTGGCTTCAGATACTATTTGGGGTACTTAGCAGTGAAGCCTGTGGTGAACAGGTTAGGAACAGATAAGACTGGAGATTTGTGGGCTTCCTGTGGCATTGTATGTAATGACTAAAATGATCACTTGGCTGAAGCACTTCCGTTTTCCTAATCAGTCACACACACACAGAGAAAAAACAAAAAAAAAAAATCATCATACACTAAAAGTGAGCCCTCCAGCATTTGATTCTAGCCATAGCTGTTAAGAAGCTTTGGGGGTTTTTGATATTAGAAGACCTTCAGAGATAAGTGTACTAAGCCAGTTAGCACACATTTAGACATGCCACCACAATTTAAATTTGAAAGAAATTTTAAGTGTATTTATCCAAAAATATGATTTTCATTTGCCAGAGTACTCTTTTCAAAGCTTTCAAAGGTACAGAAAGGTGATTTTCTGTAACTTGGTTTACTGTTCAAATCCAATTTAGTTCTGCCACCTGTTATTTTTCTCCTTGGATTTTTTTTTTAGAAGTCATTTTTAGAGCCTTTGATATTACTATATAAGAGCCTCACATCCTATGGTGTAATTGACTCTGGGTTTGATAGTTCAACAAATACACAATGAGAGTCCATTGTGTGCCAAAAGCTGTAATGTTTATTTTTCCAAGGAAGCTGCTTCAACCTAAGTGTTTGCAGCTCTCCATCTGTTAGTTTAGGAATTTGTCCCTTTGTTACTGTGACAATATTGATAATTTCTCTTTTAGATGATAGGCTTCAGGAGATGGAGAATTTTGCCTTTGGGTTTTTGATGCTCTTCTAGTGATATTTTGGGGATAACTTATTATATTTTTGAATAGATTAATATAGCCTTTCTAAATAGAAAATTAAAATTTCCAAATTTAGCGAACCATGTCACCATGTTAGTAAATATTTTTCTACTGTGCAGAGCATTACACTTAAAAGTGGAACGGTTAAAATGTTTGCAGAATCAGCTTCTCATTGTGGAATTGTTTGTTTGTTTTCTTTTTAGTCTTCTGAACAACAATCAAATCAGAAAGATTTCCAGAACTGCTTTTGAAGGACTTGAAAATTTGCTGCATCTGTAAGTTCTAAGAAAAACCAACAATGGCTTCTTTTGTTGACTGATTATTTTTGCCTTCTTGATTATTTTAACCTAAGCAATTCTTTACCTTCCTGAGAAGTACTGGCAACCTTGAAACAGAACTGTTAAATGAACATTTCTAAGGACAGCAAAGTGTTTCTTTCAATAGATCGTGCATCTGAGGACATTTGAATATTAATGCACATTTCTATCCTTCCACCCTTGACACGCAATTCTAAATTGGAGAAAAATAAAAACAAAGTTTAATCAATACTTCACACTTATATCTAATTAATCAATGATTATAAAAAATCCACAAATCTGAAAGGAACTTTATGTTAATAATTCAGTCATCTAAGACCTTTTGAGGCTGGTGAACACATTACAAGTAGGAATGTTAATCAACTTGGGTAGGAGAGAAATTTTGAAAAAAAAAAAACAGCTTATAAATATGACCATTGACAATTATCAAGCTTTTGATGTATTATTATTGATAAATGAATAAAAAACACTTAAAATGATTGCTTAAGTCAGAAACCAATGCATGTTGATGAAATGAATGTTGGATGGTGGAGAATGGATAGGCTTATGTGGGAGGCTGAAGAAAGTAAGCACAGGGACACTGGTTTCAGGTAGGAGTGAGTCCTGCAACTTCCTTTTTAAAAAATGTTAAAGACAACTGGAGGTAAAGCTTAGTAGTAGAGCACTTGCTTGGCATGTGCCAGGCCCTGGGTTTGATCAGTAGCACTACCAAAAAAAAGTATTAAGGAGGTAACTAACATTTTTACACAAAAAATGTCTACTTGTAGATCCATTAAGCAATTGGTTTAAAAAGTGATAGTAATTCTTTTAAAAAGAAAATGCTGTCCTACTTTTGCTCTAATTTACATATCTGTTGCACTTTGCTGAAATGGAATTTCAATTATACACCAACCCAAGAGCTTTATAGCTTTCTTGTTTTGAGATGCCCCAGCCCTAACACACAGGTCTCCCATAACTCTTTCCATTAATCCACCATAATGTCTTGATTTGCTGCCCTAATCTTGCACAGCCAATCTAACATGATCTGCAGGTGCATGCCACTTTTGATCTCTACCAAGCTTTTAGACCAGTGCTGTAAAAAGTCTGCTCTTTGTTTGTGAAGAATCTTGACTTTCTCCCTGTTTTTCATCTTGATCCTGGCCTGTGGTTCTCTACTTACGGGCATGTCAAAAGTAACTCCCTACAGTGATAAAAGTAGTAGACTAAACAAAACAAAAAAACCCTATGACTTTGTACATAATGGTTTAGAACAAATTTCATTATTAGTGCTAATACTAAATGTGGAAATTTAGTTAAATTATAGCTGTTAGTAGGAAGTTAATATTGGATAAAATGCTCATTGTTGCTGATGTTGGATCAATTATAAGCACAAGAGTACCATATGATCTGGATGAAAATAAGAAGAGCATTTCATAAAACTTCTATTCAATGTTATGACAAGCTAAACATTGCTTTTTAAGTGAAAGATAAGTCTTTGGGCTTCTGGAAGGTAAATGACTTATGAAAAGGTGAGGATAATTTATAAATGTGTATGATGTGGGTGATGAACACTTTCCCATGGCCACTGACGTGCGTCTTTCCATGTTTTCACTAACATTGCCAAGTGAGCATTGCTTCTCAAACTGGAGAAGTTCCCAGACAGAGGGCTGTAGGCAAGAAGACCCACTCAATGTACATGGTACCTGCAAATTCATCTTCTACATTTCCTTTTGCATTTTAACCTCAATCCCTTATTATTTTATTTCTTCGAACACAATAAGCACACACACACTACCTCTTCAACCTGTGCACAGGATGCTAATTATTTTCTGCTTGGCTATATTACCAGGCATAATGTCACTGTACTCTCAGTGACTTAGGAGAGGGAGGCAGGAGTATTACAAGTTTGAGGCCAGCCTAGGCAACTTAGCAAGACTCTGTTTCAAAATAAAAATTAGAAAGGGCTAGTGATGTAGCTGAGTAATAGAGTATCCCTGGAGTAAATCCCCAGTACCATAAATACATAAATAAATAAATTCAGCATTTTCCCTTAGTTAAATCTCAGTTTTAATATCACGTCCTTTAGGAGTCCCTTTAAGTCAGTTAACATTTTTTTTTCCTCTCTCAGGGTGTCTTGTGTATTTCATTTATTACATACATTATACAAGGGCTGGGGATGTGGCTCAAGCGGTAGCGTGCTCGCCTGGCATGTGCGCGGCCCTGGGTTCGATCCTCAGCACCACATACAAACAAAGATGTTGTGTCTGCCAAAAACTAAAAAATAAATATTAAAAAATTCTCTCTCTCTCTCTAAAAAAATTAAAAAAAAAATTAAAAATAAAAAATACATTATACAAGTTCATTTTTCTTACCTATTTGTTACCTTGTTTATTTTTGGATTTCCCCACTGGATTCTGTAAAGACAAATGGCCCTGTGGCCATACTTCTTTCCATTTATTTGCCATTTTATTCCAGCATCTAGAACTAGTGTCTAGAACAGAGTGACTGCTCACAAAAGATTTGTTAAACAGATGTATGAACATAAGGTGCTCAGTAAATGCTTGATATTTGATTGATTAAGCCTCTTGGCTATGATGTGTTAATTAATCTTATGAGAGACGAATGATAACGCTATTATATGCCTTGGATTTTTCAACAACCTGTGTATTTATCCATTATTTATAGTGTGCCATTTCCCAAGGATTTCTAGTGTTATATTACATAAAATAGTTATAATGTTTTCATACTGAGGAGCTCAATTTTCATTAGACTTTATATACCAAAGAACTTCAGTTTTACCTTGCCAAACATAAAGGCTAGAATATTTTTTTTTCTCTAAGACAAAAGCATTGCTAAACTCATGTGAAATTGTAGCGAGTTTTGTCCAAAACATATCACTGATTCCCTTGGGCAAAAACAAATAGAAGTATCCTAGGACAAATTTTGCTTTCAGATTCACACAAGAAAGTACAATTGTTTGAGAATATCCTTGGGAACTGTGGTTCATTTAAGGTTAGCTGAATCTTAAAGCCAAGATATATTGTAGAAGTGGGAGCAAAATATCCCTATTCTTCGATTCAGCAGACCAGTTATCTCTTAATAGCATTGTCAGTATTCATTATTGTGAGTTAATCTAAGGATAGACTCCAAAATAAAACTTCTTGTTAAGAAGCATCTTGGTGTCCCAATAATAAGGATCTTATTATTTATCAGCATTGATAATTGAAGAGGTTTTTAAAAAGAATTATTTGTAGGGGGAAAACCCTGGCGTGTTTCTGCGGGTTTGAGATGAATTGAGCATCATTTATTAGTATTACAAAAAGCGAAATGTATCCCACTTTCAAATCTGTGATTCTGTGTCTGGCTATGGTCCCCATTTCCTAAATTTGGTTTTGTTCTTTGAGTTACAGTTTCTTCCTTCCAACGCAGCCCCTGGACATCTTTGTCCTCATGAACTCTCACTCCTGAATGCTACACCCTATCCACAAGTTCACCTTCTTAAATCATTGTCTTGATGTGTCACTTGCAATTGTGTACTCAGCCTTTTCCATCTTTTGTGATTTGGGTGGGAGGGGGCACTGGAGATTGAACTCAGGGGCACTCGACCACTGAGCCACATCCCTAGCCCTGTTTTTTAGTTTATTTAGATACAGGGTCTCGCTGAGTTGGTTAGTGCCTCGATTTTGCTGAGGCTGACTTTGAATTTGGGATCCTCCTGTCTCAGCCTCTCAAGCTGCTGGAATTACAGGTATGTGATACTACACCTGGTGCTTTTGTGAATGTATTTGAACTCTGTCTCATTTCTTTTGCAACGTATAGATTTTTAAAAAAAAAATAATTTTTTTTTTGTTTGTTTAAACTACTGAGCAAGAAAATGTCATTGAAGAATCTGATCTTAAATGATGTAACTTTGAGGGACTCAGCTCTCACCATTTTTGGCTATACTCACTGCCTGAGTTTAATGACAGTCTTACAAACCGAGTGAAATTTGCATACGGTTTCTTGTTCATTATGTCAGCATAATGAACCTCTGCAGGATTTAGTGGCTTAAAACAAGGAAGAGTTTTATTTTTTCATGCTTGATTCAGGGTGGTCTGGGCGGTTCTGGTCTGCTGTGGTTCAGACCTTGGGTTTAGAATGGCATCACTCACATGCCGCAATTCCACAGTTATCAGCTGGGAGGGCTTTTTCTTCTTTCTCTGGCCAGCTAGATTGTGCTTGTTCACACAGTGATCTGTCTCTAATAAAAGCCAGGGATGAGTGCTTTTCAAGCCTGGCTTTTGCTGTTTTTTAGTGTCCCATTTGGTCAATCATGCCACATGGCCCAAATCTAATTCCAGCACAGGAAGATCTTGATGAGTGAAGCAGCAAAATCATCTCATAAAATGTTATAAATCAGGGCTGGGGAAATTTGTGGCCCAAAGTGCAATTGACCACTTTAACATGAGGAGTAGAGTTTTCTAAGAGTTGAGATTCAGATTGCAATCACAATCAAGCCCACTCTGGCTCTGTCACCAGGATGGACTTTTCTGATGGGTACAGTAGTTGCTCAAAGGGAGAAGAGGCCTGGCCTCTTCTGGGAGACACAAGGGGTGGAGGGCAGGTTAGATTTGATGGAAGGAGCAACACTTTTACTTAATTTTGAAAGGCTGTATGAGAAGAGGTAAGAAATGGTCTTCTATGATTTGGTAATGGGCAGTATCTTCAGTGGCTGGATGGAGCATTGATGAGAGATGAGACTGGTGAGTTTAATATGCGAAATAATAGGGGTGAATGGTTTCAATGCCTGGCTGCCTGCCTTCCTGTTTATAACTCTTTCTTTCTTCTAATCATGCCAAATTAGCTTCTATTCTTACTGCTCCAATAAAAGTGCTTCAACAACGGCCACTCATGTTATTAGACATATTGAACATTTAACATTTAACATTTAACCCTGCCCCATGGTGTCTCTTGTTGGCCACACCCCCCTCTTGATTCCT